GGAAGTGGAGGTTTTTTGTTGAAATCAAACCGGCGAACGCCGGGTTTCTGCTTGGCTGGCCAAAGGGGGGGTGGAACTGAAGCAACTGGAACCCCGGGGAGGAAAAGGGGGACTTCAACCCACTTGGAACGCATGTCGCGGCTGAGGGCAAGTTGTTTGGACGACATTGGGCGACTTGTAATGTTAGACTTGTTTGATTTGCCCGCCCCCCCCCCCCCGGCAACAGTCAAAACAGTATTAGACCAGATGCGACATTCATAGACTCTATCAGGCCGGACTGAGCCGATGGTTTGACGTTGTACGTTTTGATCCGGAGCGCTGAGTGCCTGGCAACAGCACGGGTCAAATTGAGGGATTGAGCCTTGGCTCAGGCGGGAGCAGCCGGCTTTTTTCAGGTGAAGCTGCATGGTCAAGAATCACTTGGATTCCCAGCCTTTCTAAATGGTGCAGCCGGACAGAAGTCACTCGTTAGTTGCGCGTGAGGCTTGCAACAATTGCTACGGGTGTCGTGTGTCTGTTCCAACCGCCATCGCCCGCCAGGACATTACATGAGCAGTCTTAAAATGTCTTAAATGTGGTGTTGTTGTTCTTGATGCTGGTAGAAAGGTATTGCTTGAACATGGTCGTGGCGTTTGACTGCATGCAGTCAGAAACAAGAACCGCGGCACGCGAAGAAATGCATCAACCGCCATGGTAATTTCACACGAGGACGCAGTTTGGGGTTCCCAATGAGCGAGGTTATGCGGACAACTTCGACAAGCGGGTCAACAGCTTCAAGGACCTTGCGACGCCTGGCCAGCAAGAGGCTGAAGAGGGGCTGCTTTGCATCGGTGAAAGCATCCAAGGCCCTCAAGACACGGCGTTGGCTGAATTTTGAGACCTGGCCCTGGCCCCCCTTTCCGAATTTGGCTCCCAGAGCATAAAATCGTTCTCTCTCTCACTGGCATTTGTCTACATGGGCCTCACCCTCGATGGTCCCCATTGTTGGGGGCCAGGATGGGGCCGTGCTGCCCCTCCGTTTTTGCCAGGAATGGGCCGTTCTCATGTTTGAGTCAGCCTGGAATTGGCCCCTAAATCTTGAGCACAGCCCCGGTCCGTTAGGTACTTCGCCCAGTACGTCACAGACTGGTGCTCTGCGAGCCTAAAGACCTGCAGTCTTTGTTGGTCCCCCACCCGGGGCGTCTTCGCGCAAATGGAGTGCGTGCAGAAGGCAGACCAGGCGAGGCTCAGGTTCAGTTTCTCAGTTTCCTCCATGTTTTAAAACAGTTATTGTAAGCGCTTCGCGTTGCTCGCCTCGGCCAAGCATGCAGGAAGGGGGGGGGTTGGGGAAGGGGAAATGCAAAGATTCCCTTTGGACAAGAGACCTGATCGCCCGCACCAAGGTGAGGCGAACTATGGTCAAACTATGTTGCAGGGTGCTCTGAAGTTGGACATGTCGAGACTTGCGGGATGCCTTCTGCATGCTTTTGGAACCCAAGATAGGAGCGGGTGATCAGCAAGTTGATGACCGAGCTCTATGGTGGCAAGCGGCTGTCGGTCTCCTCGGTGGCCGGCGGGGACTACCAGGCATCGGAAGCGGTTTCGTCTTGTTCGACCAGGGTCACTAGACTGGGACTTCGTATTGCCAGGTTCCGTGCTTAAGACGCTAAGTAGCCCATATTGCTTGTGAAACGACCAATTAGGAAAACAAAAGGGGACAGGGTGTTGTTATTTTTTTGGGCCGATACCTTGACCATTCGAGATCCCTGCATGAATCATGACGAGCGAACGGAGGTTCGCTCGGGAAGTGGACAAAAGGGAGCTGGAGCTCAACTCGAAGTTGGCCCCGGCACTCACCGCCCACAGCCTTTCATGGGTTTTGCGGCTCCCTTTCGCATGGTATGCGCACAGCGCCCATGGTTGGCAGAAAAGGACCCCTGATGTTGGATTGATGTTTGAGACTAAGCACTTCGTCATTCGCAGGTGTGGCTATCTCAGTGGCCAAAACCAGCAAAGAGTCTCCGACACTTGGGTCCGTCATGTCTCTTATTATGGTTTGGCAAGGCCCTCTTTTCGGCTTGCTAGAAAAGCTGGCTGGTGCCAAGGCAGTACCTACTGCTTCCACAAGGTGTTTCGAGCGAGGTACTGGTCGCCTTAAAATGAGTCGTTTCCCTTTGAAGCTTCCATGACAAGCCACCCGCACAAAGGGTGCATGTACCAAACAAACACGGAAGGAAGTACTGCTTTGATTGCTCCTCAAAAAGGGTGCACTTTCAGAAGCAGACCTACTCTTTCACTGCGACCCCTCGTCGCAGCTTGAAACCGACCCCCGTCTGCTTCTCTCTCGTTGTTTGCAGCCAAATATGGTCAAGGCGCCCTTGTACAACCCTTAGCCTTGATATATCCTTTGGCTGCTTAGAGTGATTTTGTTTGGGGGAGGGGTCGCCAAATCCAAGGTTTTTCTCGAAAAACGATCCCCCCCATTTGCGAATCTGTTGCCCTCTCGTGTTTTTCCTCTTTCTGTGTTTGGTTCGCCTTCACTCGCGCCTCGCCGCGCCGCGCCGCGCCGCGCCGCGGGCGCCTCGTCGCGAGGGCGTGGTGGAGAAGTCCTACCGCGTGGACTGGTCCGTGGTGGCGTCCGAGGCGGCGGTGGCGGGCATCGAGCAGAAGGAGGCGGTGAAGCTGGAGAAGCTCGAGAAGCTGGCGGGGGGGGGGGGACTGGAGAACCGAATCCTAAAAATCGGCGTCCCTCCAGTCGGTGGTTTGGTTAAGGTGTGTGTTTCCCCCTTATGCACCATCTACCAACGAAAAGAGAAGAAGGTGACCCGTCAGGTTGGTGGCTTGGATTTGTGGTTTGGATTTGGATTTAAACCCTGGATCTTGTGGGTAGATGGGAAAAAGAGAAACAGGGCACCCCCAAGCTTAGGTTGGCCACATGCTGAAAGCCGATTCGGCTAAATGTAGGTTAGTGGGGGATGGTCCCAGCTACCGACAGGGAACCCGAGAGTTTAAGGGACACCCGTTTGGGCGTCCCTCTGAGGTTCCCATGTTTGTCTGTGGCAATGGAAGCCAAAAGGAAAACCGATGCCATTTTTCAGCCATGCCGAAGCAAGTGGGACATCAATACTCTCTTCGGCCGGCACATGACCAGAGAGAAACTTTTCCTGTTTGGGGAAAGCCATTTTTTTGGGGGAGGACCCTGATGGTCCTCCCATGTTAAGGACCTTTTGATCAACCTCCAATTGGTGTTTTAACAACCAAGAGTTCAAACCACAAATCCAACCCACCAATTCAGGGTTTGTGTGTATGGGTGGGTGCTTTCGGGAAACCAACAGACACCCAGAAAAAGGGGGATGCTCTGAATCACGGCAGGATCAAGCTGCTTGCCGGGGTCCTTTGACAGGGCTCCTTAAAACAAAATAATTTTGCCAATTTGAAACATGGCTTTTTCCACCAAAATAAAGGGAACCCACCATTTACAAGGCAATGTTCAGGTGTATAATGTAAGGATCCCTGTTTGACTCTGTGTGTATGGGTGGGTGCTTTTGGTTTCCCTGGGTTGCTTTGACGGGAAACCAACAGACACCCAGAAAAAGGGGGATGTTCTGAATCACGGCAGGATCAAGCTGCTTGTCGGGGTCCCTTGACTCAAGGTTGTTTGAGAGGGAACCCGCATGCTGGGCTTGAGGCTACCTGCCATCCGAGGCTGCAATTCGAAGGGCCAACAGCAAACCAACAGCAAACCGCTGATTTCGGGGACCTTTTTGAAACACAAAGCACTTTGTGTTGGGTCCCCTACGCCGGATGGTGCCAATCACCGGGCCACTGGCTGAAGGATTTGGTTCGGGGTCTCTGGTCTCTCTGGTCCCCTTGGGCTTTGTTGAAAGTGCAACTGCCATGCTTGGACTCAAACTCCATCTGCCGACTTGCCCAGGCCAGAAAAGCGGCAGAGAAGATGGAGAAGAAGAAGGACTCCAGTCCTGATGTCTCAATTTTTGGTCACCGGATGTAATCTCCCCCTTTACAAGGGGGTTAGTCTTTGGGAAGCCCTTTTTGGTGTATCACAGAGGTGGGTTCCATTTCCCACAGCCCTGGATGTGGTCGTTTGCCTTTGTCTCTTCTTGCTGGCCTTGGGCCGTTTTGCAAACTCTGCCCAATTGCTTGTTGGAAAGCCAAGCCGCGACCTTCTGCCATCTTCGTTCGTTTGGACCTCAAAACGGCGTGCGCTTGTGGAGTTCGTGACAAGTGAGGATAAGAAGGAGAAGAAAGACAAGAAGGAGAAGAAAGAGAAGAAGGGCAAGAAGGACAAGAAGGACAAGAAGAAAAAGAAGGACAAGAAGAAGGAGAAGAAAAGCAAAAAGGACAAACAGGACAAGAAGGAGAAAGCCCCGAAGAGCCAGCCGAAGGTGCAAGAAGACACCATAGCGAGCCTCCCCGAGCCCGAGTCCAGCGAGGAGCCGAGTTCGGAGGTGGCCCCGGAAGGCCGGAGATTCGCCTGGGAGACGTCGTCTTCCTCTTCGGAGCCGCCGCCGCCCAAGAAGCGCAAGGAGGTGGACCTCAAGTCATTCGGACCCATGGCGGCTCTGGCCGGCTCGGACGAATCCTCGTCCTAGGCTCACACGGCACCGCTCTTCCGACTCTTCCTGGCGCTGGCGAGGCGCTGGAGAGGAAACCTTCAAGGGGGTTCCATCCCCTGCTTGAGCTGGTGAAGGAGGACATCGTGCCGAGGACATGCCAGGACATCCCAAGACAGGGCCACTTGAAGAGATTCACGCCGAAGAGGGCTCCACACCAAGTCTGTCAACCATATCATCTTAGAAGTACGGCAATCCTGACGGCCTTGGACGGAAGTGAGGGTGACTGAGTGGCCGAGAGATTGGCATATTCAAGCAAAAGGTAGCAAACGCCAAGCGGGCGGTTCGCAGGCGCAAGACATGATGGGCTAAACTGCCGTGCCATGTCGAATCTGAGTTTGCCTGGCTTCCGCTTGACCTGCGGGGTGCTTAGTCCCGCGCTTGCCCAGGCGAGGGACTACACTGCCACAATCACTGCCCTGGGGAGGGTCAGCGACTGGCATCAGGCAGGATGCTTTTGCTTGCACGGAGGTGAGAGTCGCCGGAGCCAGCAAGATGCCAGTCGCCGCGCGGCCGTGTGGATCAAGACGTAGATTTTGAAGCTTTTGACTTGTGCGCTTCACGACTGATGGTTTGTGGATGTGTTTGGAGCTTGCGCACGTAGAGAGGCCCAGGCTGCCATTTTTTTTGCAGGCCCAAGTTGGGAATGCATGGGCTGTGCATCCATTGGCACCGATCCCAGATCCGCAGCCAATGAACCGACCGGGATGCAGCGTGAGGAAGACCTGCTGGCGAACGGCCAATTGATCAAACATCTTCAGGAGCTTTCAAGGGTCACTGGCAGCACGTCAGGCGCAGTCACTTGCATCCTGGGCAGGCGAGTCATTGACTCAGTTCTTCAAAGCCGACCTTGTGACCTTTTTGGTTCTTCCCTTTTTGTTTCTCCATTTTTAGTAGGGCTCCGACAAGGTGATCACCTCTTTTTTTCCAGGTGCTTTGGGCAAGTGGAGGCTCAAAGCCAAGACCTCTCCACGTCAGGAGGGAGGCCGCGGCGCTTCTCCCGTCTGGGGCGACGAAGTGGTTTTCGATGTCTCCGTGGCGGAGGCGGCCGCGTGGTCTCCCAAGGTGCCCTTTCTCACCCCCTTTCTTTGGGGGGAGGGTTCCCCTACTAAAATTGACAACTGAAAAAGTTGGTACCCTTATTCTAACCTCTCTATTGGAGGACCTAGTGCAGCATAGGTGTCCTTTTTACGGTTAGTTTGGTTAAAAATAGATGGGTTCCACTGGTTTAGATGGGGTTTATGACCCATTTGCCAGGGAAGCCCATCTATTTTTCCAAAAGGCCACCTATGATCTGAAGAGCCTGAGCATGTTTGAGCCATGTGCAGATTTCGCAGCTGCAGTTTCGAATTGGCCTTCCTTTGCTGTAGTGACATATGAATATCAAGCATGGGGACTCTGCTGTTTCGTGCAGCCAATTGTCGGATGATCGAAAACACGTGTTGTTGAGGCGTTCGGTCCGGCATGCGCAGGGCAGAAAGTCGGCCTAGTTTGCAATCAGAGTGAGTCATGGCCAGTACTAAATCTGCAGCCACAGTGGCAGCAGATTTCAGGGTCCATGGGGTGCTGTTTGGGCGTCGAGTAATGCAAGCTTTGCTGTGTCGCATCCCCTTCCTAGCAAGTGGCTTAGATGTGCGATGCCGACATAGGGCTTTCGAGTCGGAATGCTTCCTACGATTTCCATTTCAATGGAACCTGAGGGGAGGGGGGCGGAAGAAAAAACGGGGGCTGTCAGGCAGGGGGCTGTCAGGCAGGGTTCAAACGACCCCTGTGTCCTCATGCACGTTTCCGACCTGCCCGCGCAGTTCGGCGCGCATCCCTTGGTCTTATGGGAGCAGACTTCGTGCCGGCCGCTGGGCTGCAACTGCTTCGGCGCTTCGCACGGTGAAGTAGGCGTTTTGTGGGCCACGCAAAATCAGCTGGGAGATACGCCAGCACCATCAAGCAAAGACAAGCCATTGACCTGATTTCCACCTCCACTGGCAGTCCGGAGCTGCCGGAACTGTACATTGGCAAGGCATGCCAATAAGAACAGCCTGCCGTTGCGCGAGCAAAAGCACTTGTCGGCCATTTTCTGTACGCTTATCTAGAAACTCGCTCTACTTCAGACTTTTTAAGAAGGCCATTTTAGTGGTACAATATGGTACATAGAAAGCTTGGACTTTTTGTTGCAAATCCACTCAGGAAGCGAGGCTTAGCACGCTTGCCCCTTACCCAGCCTGCGGTGGAGGCTGTGATTGTGGCTGGTTTCTCCTCTTGCCTTATCATGCCCCGTTTCCATTTCGTGACACATTTGCAGGCAGGACATGGCATGAGAGAAGAGTGCCAACCTCGGATTCCATTCTTCCCCCCCCCCCCAAAAAAAAAAAAAAAAGACCTTGAAAACACCCCCCCCAAAAAAAAACCACAGAGAGCCTGAAAACAGCCCCCTCCCCCCTTAAAAAGAAGACAAAAAACGCAAAGTCGCAGCTCGGAGGCACGTGCTGGGAGCTGGCCACCTGCCGGAAGCCTTCTGCGTCATGCTGAGCTCCATGCGCCCTAAGGAGAAGGCCATGCAATGTCTCCACTTTCCCAATGGATTGATCAAACATCTCCAGCATCTTTCAAGGGTCACGGGCAGCATGCAACTCAGTTGTTCAAAGAAGACCTTGCGACCTTTTGTTGGTTTGCTGGAAGCTCCCCCCCTTCTGGATTTCTAGGAGGCCATGTTGAAATCCATCTTCCTTCTTGGGCTTGCGACTCGGCCCCCCGACAACGAGGTCCAGCGCGTCTTTCGCAGCCCATTTTGGTCATACACTGGCCAAAACGGGTCAAAGCTGAGTTTTAACCGGGAAGGGCGGACAAAGTTGCTGAGCGGTGTTTTTGTCACGCTCCCAGCGTTGCCTTCCCGCTATGTATATATATATATATATATATGTAAGCACTTATCCATACAGATGCTGCCACAGCCCTGAGCCATGTTCCCAAGCGCATGTGCGCAGGCGATATCAATGCCTTTTCCAAGCACTGCATGTTGCGCAAAATCAGCCAAACGTGCGAGCCAGCATGGCTAGTGTCTTTGTTCTTCACACGCTTTCCACCACAAAAAAGGCCCACCTCTAGTAAAAATTGGGCAAGACAACCGCGAAGACTTATCCTGGTGGCGTGGTAGGCCTGCGTGACTGGAATTGCAATGCACCGGGCGCAAAGGCTCTGGAAGCCGTCCTTGTCCCCAAGCTTGCTGAAGCCTGACGGTCACTGCTTTGGGATACTCCTCCTGCATAGATTGTGCTCAGCAGTGCACATTGCAAGCACTGCTGAAATTTACACTCAAGGAACAGCAATCCAAGCAGAAGACGCCAGATCAACTTGTTCGATGGATGCGATTGTTTGGCGAGCCTTTGGCGCAGGAAAAGTCGCTCAGCTTGGCTCGGCGCAGAAAGCCTCGAGAGCCCTGCACAGTACCCCGGCGATCGAAAACCTCCGCTTTGCCCGGCTTGGCTGTGGAAAGCCGGCAGGCCAAGGAGCCAACGAGTGCTGATTGACAAGGCCAAGGCCCAACAAGTAGTTTCGTACACGTCATGACCAGCAAAAGCACCGCGCCAGGGTCAAAGAAGCCAAGGGGCCTGACATGGGCAAAGTGGCAAGGACACGTTGCACGACGGTCAAGGCTTCAGAAAAATCGTGTCCAGAGCAGGTCCGAAGGGCGTCCACACAGTGAGAAATGAAAAGCAGGCCCTTCTCTGGTTGGACAAAATCCTGCACCACTTTGAAGCCATGGGGAAACCATTGTTTCTTGGTATTTGCGGGGGAATCGCATCATTCCGGGCTTTCTGAACGGGGGTGCGAAATGGATTTCGCATCCATTTCGCAACCATCCACAGTAGTTCAATGAATATTGGCTTTTGTACCTGTTGACCCATCTTAATCAAGCCCCAGTTTGTTAGTCGGGGGTTGTCCCTGGGTTTAGTGGGGAATGAAACCACTTTTGGAGGGGCCCCCTCCAGCATATTCATAAACTGGGGTTGATTCATATGGGGTCAACACTGTCCTGATCCCCCCGTTCCCCTCAGACACGGACTCCACTGCACAGTACTCCGTTTGTGGCATGAAGCCAACAGGCAAATGAACCCATGCAAGCTGTGCCATTTGCAGTGGTCCGTGCAGTTCAAGACATCATTATTGTTGTACAGTTGTGTTGCACACTTCCAACCTCGTCTGAAATACGCGACGGATGGCAGCTGGTTTAGATGTAGAAGTTGTAGCTCGAAACGATGAGTACCAGACCGTTTGGAACGACCTACATTCCAGCTTGCGCAATGTCCAACCGAAAAGTTGCCAAATTAACACGCTCGACAAGGGGCCATCCCGAAATGCCCGAAAAGCGTCCTTTTAAGCTGTAGTGGTATATCCGTTTCCAACACTGCCCACCCCCACCCCCACCCCCCCCCACCCCCCCCCACCCCCCCCCACCCCGCCACCCCCCCGCCCCAACTGAGTACAGCTTCGATGTCCGGCGAGGCAGCCTTCCTCCTGGACCTCCGCGCCTTGAGCGCTTCGCCGGCCTGGCTCTTCGCGGGCGAGTTCGAGCGTGTGGATGTGGAGAGGGTCCGGGTTGAGGTGGTCCTCAGGGAGATTCTGCCCAGTGAGGCGGGGGTGCGGCAGCGAGCCTGCCCATGGCCTTCAAGATCCTCCATGGTATTTGAGCCATTCGTATGGGCCCACGCAGGTCCTAGCGCCCGCGGTTCTTTGTGCTGAAAAGCTGCGAGCCATAGGCCGCTGCCGTGTTTGCCCAGCCTTGAGTGTGAGCCGGCATGTTATGTTGACCGAGCATGGTGATTGCCCGGGAAAGTATGAAGGAGGCGTGAGCCAGCAGCTGCGTAGAAGCAACAAGTCCAGCAGCAACTTTGTACGCACCTAGTGGCATAGTGACATACTGTGCGTGTACAGAAACGAATCAATCAGTCAATGTTGTTTACGGATACCGTGCACACATGCCGTTTATGAATAATATGTGTGGAAGCAGCTTGTGCAATCGATTTCTCACTGGGGCCATGCTTTCGTGCGAGGCCTTGGACCTTTGCCAGCAGACCTTCGGCTGCGAAGCCTCCGCCGTGCGCGTCACGCTGCGGCGGCCCGCGAACCAGCCGCTGAATTGCGGCGCCTGTGCGCCCGCCGAGGTGGAGCTGGAGCTGGAGCTGGCCGATTCCCGCGCGCGCCGGCTGAGCCAACGGAGAATGCGCTGCAAACAAGGCGCGAAGGGTCCTGACCATAGGTGTCCTTTTTGGTTGATTTGGTTAAAAAGTAGATGGCCCTGCTTTACCTGGTTCAATCAACTACCAGGGCCACCTATGGTCTTGACTACAATTTGGGAAGCTTTGAGTCAAGCTGGCGAGGAGACAAGTCTGCTCTTTTCTCTGCAATCTTCGCCCCACTCTTCTTCCCATCTCCTTGCTCGCTTCTTCTCCCCGCGCTCTTCTGCCCGCTCTCCTTGCCCTTCGCTCCGCTCGCTTCTTCATTCTGTTCCGCGCTCTTGAAGCTTATGCGCTCGGTCGCGTGTTTTGTGCATTGTTGATTTCACTTTTTGCCCGGAGGAAGTGGGTCTCTTCTCGTGAAGTTCCTCCCCTGTCATAAAAGTGAGCCGGCGTCGCCCTTGCGCGAGCAGTTGCGGCGATGTTGCGGCGTTCGCGCGGTTGCAATTGGCTTTCTTTAGGGTACCAAAAAGTGATGGTTTTTCAAACATTTTGGTCTTCTTGTAAAACCACAAGCAACAAGGGGGCACCCTCATCAAAAAGACATGCCCAAATGTGTGCCTGGTGGTTAAAGGTGCGATTGCCACCAGCGGGTGTGAATTTACTAGCCATGAGGAATGTGTGTTGTTTGAGGCGACATGAAGAAGATTTCAGGCCCAGCTCGAGGGCGACCCAAATCTGGGGATCTGAAAATTTTTGGGGGCGCCCTGAAGTTTCTATCAATCCTTTGAAAAGCCAAGCCAAGCTTCCTGCAGTGCTTGGTCAGCCAGAAGGCCGCATAGGAAACGACCCCGCAAACCTTGCAGGCGTGAAAAATCCTCCATCCGCCTGAAGGGTGCAGCCCCTTGGGGTCACAAGGCAAAATTAGACGTGAGATAGTACAATGTTGCCGCGGTTTGGGTTACCAACAGATCATCTTTGCGCGCAAAGCCGAGCTTTGTGGTTTTTCAGGGAGTAACCTTGCTGGCGCTCAGGGAGCGTCGGAATTTCTTGTGGCTTCCTGTAAGGGAATCCAAGGTTCAATCCCAACACCCTGCAGATGAGGAAAGAACCCCCGAAAAGAGAATCCAAGTGGTGGTTTCCTTTGAGGGGACCATGGGTTCATTGCCTCCTTCCCCTACCTATCGCCGCAGCGGCCAGGCTGCCTGCCAGACGCTGTGGAGCTGGCGCTGCCCTGGCTGGGTGTGGGTCAGCGCTGCGAGCTGAGCGGGCGCTTGGACCTGGAGCGCCTGGCCGCGCCCGAAGAGGCGAGGCTTGGGGGGTGGCAGTCGGTGGGGGGAGGGGTGGATGGGTGGGTGGGAGGGAGGGAGGGTGGGGATGAGGCAGTGGCCCAGATAAAACTGGGGTCATTATTTCGACGGTTTCTGAGGGTTTTAACGTCAGACAATGTGGTCCTTCAACCCACCACTTAGGGGGTGACTTTGATCAGGGCAAAATAATGCGGCCAGATACAATCAGCAAAATGATGACCTGTTTGCTCTGGGCGTCCTGTGGTGCAAAAAAAGGAGCTCAGGATGCCCTGAAAGCTCAAAACAGGCCTGCGCATCGAACTTCTGCGTGATAAATCCTCAGTTCAAAGCCGACCTTTTCACCTTTTGGTTTTCCCTGGTTTGGGTTCTCATTTTGTAGTAGGGGTCCCAAAAGGTGATCACCTTTTATTGATGGGTCCTTTGGGCAAGTGAGAATCCATCCGTTTGTCCAAAGGCTCTTGGTTTGCGTTGCGCTTCCAGGCAGCGTGCCTCCGCGTGTTGCTACTGGCAAGAGGCGAGCCGGTGCCATTGGAAGAGGTGGAGCAGCAAGCCAAGGCCAGAAGGGAGGGGTCAGCGGCAAGGATGTTTTTTGGCAATCCGGTTTCTGTCAATGTGCCTCAGACCTCTGTTTTTTTTCTTCTTCCGCAAACAGAGGCAAATGTGCTTTTTCGCAAACCTGT